TCAGAACAGTCCGGCTGCGGGTCAGAACAGTTCGGCTGCGGGTCAGAACAGTTCGGCTGCGGGTCAGAACAGTCCGGCTGCGGGTCAGAACAGTTCGGCTGCGGGTCAGAACAGTTCGGCTGCGAGTCAGAACAGTTCGGCTGTGAGTCAGAACAGTTCGGCTGCGGGTCAGAACAGTTCGGCTGCGGGTCAGAACAAGCAGGCCTGTCACCACACGGTGGAAGATGTGGTTCTGACAAACAAATATGGCGACCGGCTCTGCGGTCAGATCTGCACCCAGAACAGCGAGGGGAAGCTGCAGCTGCGGGACACCTGCGCTGACGACAGCACTGAGACTGTAAGCACCGACAAACCAGAACAAATCTCCAACTCAAAGAGGCCGGAGGACCGAACAAGTCCAGTCACGGCCTCCCCCAGTCTGCCCGCCAGTGAGACCTTTACTGGAACCATCACCATAAACAACCAAAGCATCATAGTGACCATTGAGAACGGCATCCTGACCCTCGCTGCCCCACCTGAGGGCTATGTCCACAAGGAGGACGGCATGGTCAGCCTGAAGGAGCACCTGGGGATGAAAGACCATGAAGACATTGTCCTGCTGAACTATGACAGCGGCACCAAGTCCATAGGGAAGATCAGCACCCTGGCAGTGGCCAGTCCAAAGCACCAGGACGAGTCCAGACCCGGTCTGTCTGTCAGCGACTCTGAGCTGGCTCTGGTGGATGACTGCTCCTTCTCAGAACTCAGCACCTCACTACATTCCTGTCCCAGTAAGGAGGACGGGGAGGCGCTGTGTGCTTTAACAGAACCGGACCTGGTGTCGCCCTCGCCCAGAACCACCGTGGCGGGCTGTGACAGCGAGGACCGAAGCTCTCTGCGGCTCAGCAGGCCCAAGAAAGGCGCCGCGGCCTCTTTCCTGTGTCCAGAACCTGGCTGCTCCTGCACGTTTGAGTCCCGTCAGAAGCTGAAGGTCCACCTCCTGAACCACACGGAGGACCCTCGGCCGTACCAGTGCAGCGTGGAGGGCTGCGGCTGGGCCTTCGCCACCTCCTACAAGCTGAAGCGCCACCTCCAGTCCCACGACAAGCAGCGGCCTCACGCCTGCCAGTTCGAAGGCTGCGGGCGGCGCTTCACCACGGTCTACAACCTGAAGGCGCACCTGAAGGTCCACGAGCAGGACAGTGCCTTCGTCTGCGACATCTGCAACGAGAAGTTTCGCAGCAGCACGCGCCTCACCAACCATCAGAGGGTTCATTTTGAGCCGCAGAGACCCCACAAGTGTGAATTCCCAGGTGGGCTGTGCTGTGGGAGCTGCTGCTCGTGACTCTCCTTCGACATGTTTTCACGTCGTCTGTCCCTGTTTGCAGGCTGTGAGAAGACCTTCATCACCTTCAGTGCCTTGTTCTCCCACAACCGCACCCACTTCAGAGAAACGGGACACTTCGCATGCACTTACCCAGGCTGCCACAAGACGTACGACAAGGCCTGTCGCCTCAAAATACACATGAGGAGTCACACGGGTGAGTGTTAGCGTGCGTGTGTGTGTGTGTGTGTGTGTGTGTGTGTGTGTGTGTGTGT